AAAAAAATCAATTTGTTCCTACCAAATATGCATTAGAAAGAAATTACCAATATTTTCAATTTATGGTTCACTATTCTGGCGAAACGATACTGTCGTGGGCTTTATTACTGTAGGACTATTTAAATTAAACATTTCCATTATACCGTACATTATAATTATACGTGTAACCGTAAAGGTTTTTGCAGCGCACTCCAGAATAGCTCGCAGATGGCAGAACTTTTTTCCAATTACTTGACATTTATCGTAATATTTTGGACATTTCACACGTATCTTTATAAATTATAGCCTATGTGTTATTCAGATATATTGTGTAAGCTATATTATTGTAGTATTGCAGTTTCATTAAAATCCATTCAGTAGTATTTGCGTGAAAGAGTACATCCATCCATACATACAAACTTTCGCGTTTATCTTATCCTTTAAACGAGCAATTCTTGTATTATATATATAATATATATATATATATATAATCGGAATCTCGGAAACGGCTCCAGCGATTTTCATGAAATTTAGTATGTGCGTAGATTCGGGGGCGAAAAATCGATCTAGCTAGGTTTCCTTTTTAGAAAATGCCCTTTTATCCCTGTTTTTAGGGAATGAAAAATATAATTAGAATATGACGGTAAATTTCGCCGCAAGAGACAATGTCATAATAGCTCGGTCGGTAATCGGGCGGCCTCAAAAAAGACGGCCGTGGTTCGCGTCACGATCATTTACACACATTTATTTTTTTACTTTTTTTTCGATTCCAGATCATTGCTTTCTTTATTTTAAATTTTTTGTCGATTTGTTATTTTGTTATTTTTTTCCCTTTTTTAAAGTTCTTTCTTTTGTGAAAAACATCAGTTCATATTTTCTTATTATTACGTCGGTAAGATCGAAAAATATTCTGCATATTTCATTACTCAGTAATTTGTATCTAAAAGTAATTACCAAAATACACGATTTACCAAAAAAGAAACAAACCGAGCAAAGCTCGGTCCTCCGGGTACTAATATTATAAGTAAGCATTTCAGAATCATCTCACCCATTTTGAAATGTAAAGCAACCTTTCCTTTGGTAATCGGTCTCTTAAATTACTTACTGAGGTTACATCTGACAGACAGACAATAAAAAGTATAGACGGAGCCGTCGTCAGCAGTCATGATGAATTATGTGAGGACTAATATCAGTTTTGTGTGCGTTTCACGGTATAAGATATCGGAGATTTGCGCATGTTTGCCAGAGAAAAATGCTGCTATGAAAAATGTTTTATTTGTCTTAGTTATATGAACTTTTATAGAATGTTTGTCAGTTACGATTGGTCTGGCTCCTTACAAATCGTATTTGAATATGTTTTATTGACACTGACGTGTCATAGCGAATATACTCGAAAAAAAAGCATTCAATAATAAAACAAAATAAACAGATGTAACGTGTCCGAACCAAAAGTTGTGATACTTTTGGGGCAAGATAATATATGAATTTCTTGTGTTAACACGATTATATATAGCGTTCATGGTCACGGAACAGACTGGAAAGGGTTCGAAAAATCGTGTAAAAATATAGATAAATCGATAGCGCCTAGAATTCGTGTTAGTATGTCAAACATTTTTATGATTCACGAAGAAATAAACAAAATTTGTGAAAATCACGTTTAAAAAGTTTAGGTACGATTTTATTCAAAAAAATTTTTGAATATCCAATATTGCATTGAAAAAGCCCATATAATGAAGTATAAATTTGACTGAATTATTGATTTTTATTTATTTTCTTTTATACTGGGTAATGGGATTCAAAGTAGCGTATAACTGCCGCTTAGTCAAATCTTTAAAGCTCGGTTTCTCATAAATTTTGTCGGCAGCTTATCTATTCGTTAGGGCTATTGGTTCGATAACTTACAAAAGTGCGTTTCTGAACAATGCCACTTAAGATAAAACTCCGCTTAAACTTTGGTTAACATAACACAACAATTAATGTCCAAAAACTACGATATTAGAAATTGTTTTTATGCTGGAAAGGATATAAATACGCCAAACATTGCTTCAAATGCTAAAAAACAATGTAGATAAAAGGCGTTAAGATTTTCGTCGTAGGTGGCAATCAGTCGTTTAGCTTAGTGGCTAAAGCGTCAGGTCGCGAATGCCGAAGACGTGGGTTTGATTCCCATAGCGGCGACAATCTTTTCGTACTTTTTCTACAAATTTTAATGTTTACAGTAACACCTATCTAAGAAAATGCACCAATCGAACTCGAACCCACAACTGAAAACTGCATCTAAATCAGACTAGTGGTTTTTGAGGAAAATGGGAACACGTATATGCACAAATGATGTTTGCTGCAGCGCTCCCTAGTGAGTCATTACCGTAACAGCTATCTAGAACATGCGCCAATCAAACCCGAATACATAACTGAAAACTGCATCAAAATCAGACTATTACGTTTGGAGAAAAATGAGAACATGTATTGCGGTTAAGCGGTTAAGTTTTTTAATTGCCACGAAAACCATCACACGGCCCCTTGTCATATCAGTGGCATGGAGTTGAAGTTTTGCCTCTGTACCAATATCATGTTTGAAATAGAACAAATTATGACACTGAATCTAATTTTAAAGTTTTCTATCTATCAATCTATTTCAATAAATGTTGTTTTCAGGAATATGCTGATGCAAAACTTATTGGAGGACTGGTTATATCAGAATTACACTAACTAAACCCCCCACGATGTTTCACCCATGCGCATATTGGCAGGGCCCTGCCAATATGGAATGCTTTTGCACACTTCCGTGACCCAACCAGCGCTGGCTGCCTTAGCAGCCCCTTCCCGGGGAGCAACTCCCTTCTCCTTCAGGTAAGGCACGCTGGAACATTTAGCACGCCTTCCTACTCGGCCCCTTTTTCATTGCCAACGAACTCCCCCGAGTTCACCAACCAGAGGTCATGAGAGAAATACAACTTTGTGAAATTCAAGATTAAAAAGTTAAGCCATGATTTTATTCGAGAAAAATATTTTTTATGCATCAATATTTGCATTTAAAAAGTCCATTAAATCAAGTATAAATTTGACTGAATTATGAGTTTTTATTTATCTTCTTACTTACTGGGTAATAGGATTCGAAGTATCGCGTTACTGTCGATTAGAAAAAAAAATTAAATCTCTCAATCGTTAACTACATTTTATAATGTAAAAATATTTTGTATCTGATTTAAGAACATATATATAGACATAAAATTATGAATTTTAACTAAAATTGGAAACATCAACATTTCTTGCCCACTCACTTTACGTTGAATGCCCCTTTTGTTATTTTTCAGGCATAAACTTCGATTGATAATTACGCGCAGAGAGCTTTGTGTAATCTAATAACACAATTAGAGTATATTCAAAAATATTTAAAATAATACATGACATATTTCTTTTATCTGATAAGTTATAAATATCTTATCTTACGAATTAATACAAGTACTTTTCATATATATATAAGGCGGATAAAAATGGTGTTGTTAGGAAACTATCAGAAATGCGTACCTTTCTGCTGTTGGCCTTAGGCATTGCTGCGGTAGCAGGTAAATATGTTTTTTTTTAAATAATGTAAACTTTAGTTATAAATGTAATAATATTTTGTGTTATAATATCATATTATACTTTGTAGTTTCACGGAGCTCTTTGATATCAAGTCAAAGTAAAGGAAGAACTGATTTCTCTCCTTCTCTAGAACAAAAAAACTCTGTTGTTGAAAAATGAGTACGGCCCTCGTAGTAATAGCATGTTGGGTTAATTTTAATATTGCCTTTGTCTAATCGAGTAATTATAATGTTGAAAAAAAAACTTGCTCATTTAATTAAAGTACTTTAGTAATCTTTGTTTACTGCTGGACGCTTCTCTGTATTCAGCATGTTGGCACGGTGTATGAAGTATGTATTCACAGTAACGGATGTATTTGTAAGTGAAAAGCTTACGTTACCAAATTTTACCAAAGTATTTTTTTAACTTATTAAAGTCAATCAGATATTTCTGTTGGATTTTCAATAACATTTTAGTAAGTGCAGGAAGAAACAAGCATAGAATTGTAAAAGATGATGCTTGTAAGTAAGCGTATAATCATTAGAAGAACAATCCAATTTACTGAATACTTATTAAATGAAACTAGTTTACGGATTTCATCGCGTTTTTATTTTGATTTTGAAATTCCCCATGTGTCGTATCCTTTCCAGCGTTCATGGTCACGGGACAGACTAAGTTGTTACACGTCTTGATCGTCTTGATAGTAACTTCGACTACCGTCATATTTGCTGTTTATTTTTTTCCGATCTACGCAAAAGGAGCTTTGGTATCTTGAGGACTAGCAGTGTGTACAACAATACAAGGATTCCAGCAACTGCGGTCACCAACCCGCCTGCCAAGCGTGGTGACTAAGGCAAATTTCCCCTCAACGAAAGCAGTGTGTGCTTGGATTAAATTATATAAATTATAGGATCCCAAGTAGATGATAAACTCCAACCATCTTCTCTATTGAAATTAGGATGTTTCTTTAAAATTATTTGTAAAAACGTTTATGGGTATGAAATTAATAATGTTTACAATGATTACTGAACTTTATGATTCCAGCTGCTCCTGAGAATCCTCAAAGGATTGTTGGTGGATCTGTGACCACAATCGACCGGTGGCCATTAGGCGCAGCTTTACTTTTTTCAAGGACTGGAGCTAATCACCGCCAATCCTGTGGTGGTAGTATTTTGAACAACAGATCTATTCTTTCTGCTGCTCATTGTTTCGTGTAAGAACCTTTTATTGAACTGATTTTTTTTATAAAACATTTTGTTACTGCATCGTTTCAGCGTGTCATAAAGGACACATACTATCTTTTGGGTTGAAACATTTTTTTTATTAACTGTTTCTCTCGCAATTGACCACTGTTGTAATCATTTTTCAGTGGTGATGGCGCAAACCGATGGCGCATTCGTGTTGGATCTACATGGGCCAACAGCGGTGGTGTAGTCCACAATACAAACAATATTAGAATGCACCCCAGCTACAATTCACGCACCCAGGACAATGACATCGCAGTTTTGCGTTCAGCAAGCACCTTCTCATTCAATAACAACGTTCGTGCTGGCAACATCGCTGGTAGCAATTACAACCTTGGTGACAATCAAGTAGTATGGGCTATCGGATGGGGCGCAACTTCTGTAAGTTAGATCGAAGTTTTTAAAAAACACATTTTTTAGTCATTTCAATTAGTGACGATAACAAGTTTCAAAAATAGTGTTATAAGTAAGAGTCTCTGATGCATATATTACATAGCGGAAGAAATTTATGATAGAAAATTTAGATACTACAAGTATACATACATTAACATAAAAATAATATGTTTACATCTTAAATTTATCATTAGTTAGTTAATTTATTATAACTTCTTTAATTTATTATTTTCAGGCCGGTGGACCTGCTTCCGAGCAACTGCGTCAAGTACAAATCTGGACTATAAATCAGGGTGTGTGCAGACAACGTTACGCCACAGTCGGCAGTGCTATCACTGATAACATGTTGTGCTCCGGTTGGCTTGACGTTGGCGGTCGCGACCAGTGTCAGGGTGACTCTGGCGGTCCACTTCTTCACAACAACGTCATCGTCGGTGTCTGCTCTTGGGGTCGTGGCTGCGCACAAGCATTCTTCCCCGGTGTTAACGCCCGTGTCTCCCGTTTCACAAGCTGGATTCAGTCGAATGCTTAAACATGCTTAGAATTCAAGTGATTATAATCGAAGTTTTATGGTCAAAGTCAAGTTTCTAACAACTACAAAAGTATTCTTTAAGCTTTTTGTTGTTTTTATAATAAATCGTTTATAAAAAATTTCTTTTTTTCCTTTTTTATATGAATTCACTTACTTTTATAATTGTATCTAAATATTCAAATATCATTATTTAAAAAATAAACTAAGATATAAGAAATATAGGTAATGTTTGATAAGCAGAAGCTTATACTGTGATGTCCTATTGATAAGTAGTTTACACTCTGTACGATCTAAAGTTTTCAAGTATGGAAATAGTTCGATTATGACAGCAAAACATAACTCAATGTGATATAATACAAAGAAACAGTGCTGCACTCAGTGTCGTCTAATTAGTGATAAGTATGAGCAATTATATAATTTAGAATCATGGCAAAAAGGATATTGAAGTAATGAGGTAAAACTACGCATAAGATGTTTGTATTAGAAAAACATCAAAAAACCAGCAAAAAAAAGCGTCTGGAGAAAGAGCAAAAAACCAAACCGGTGATCATTTTTCGTCATCAATTTAAAACCACCATTTTAAAGTTAAGATGAGGATTGTATTTTAATGCAAAGAGATTTGAATGCAATCTAATCATGGTGTAAAAATAACACATGCTCATTTTGCATAATGGCATTATGACTCATAAGAGCAATTTACAATCTAAATTTGAATGTATCTCTGAAAGAGAAATTTAAAGAAATAAATATTTTAACCTCTCAATATACATATATGAAAATGTAATGTATGTACATAGAAAAATTAATAATTTTAATAAAAATACTAATAACACTAGGAACAAACACAAGCTTGTAACGCCAATTACTAGACTCCATAGAGGCAGTAACTCGTTCATTGGACGGTGTACACGCTTCTACAAAAAAATGCCAGTTACTGTGCAAAGCTTATCTATTAACAGGTTTAAGAAATTTATTAAAGAAACTTTGACTATAGATTCTTATCTCAAAATAATATCGTACATCGTTTCAGATAAAGACTAGGGCAGATGGTGCATTGCCTACGAGTATGGTCATGGCGGCGAGAAACGTTACTCGATTATTTTACGGATAGAAATAAATTCACAATCATAATTTTAATGATTCACGCTCAATCATATTTTTAATCTAACAATAGTGAGTTTTCTTTCTTGAAAATAAATACTTAAACATTAATTATGATAAAAATAAGCCGGAATTGCGGTATCTTTTTAATGATAAAGTAATTTACTATAATCTTACTGCAAATATTTATTATTGTAATAAAAACAAAGATGTAAATAAAGATTTTTTAGGATAAGTACCGTTTAAGTTTTAGGGTTCCGTACTAGGGTAATGCAGAATAATAAATATTTAAGTGGTGTATAAAATAAAAATGCTTCATAAATTAAGCAATGGACTGTATAATTTAAAATTTAATGACTGAAGAAGAAAGAAAATGTTGCCAAAATGGTAAAAAAGGCTTACCGAAATTGATACCATTTAATAAATAATTCTTATTTTTTTAAATATTTTTAACAATTGGGCCGGGGCTAGTGACAACCATTATATTTATTATTTTTACATTTATTTTGAAGAATCTTTGTTCAAGCTACAAAATTAAGTTAATAAATTTATTTTAAATGCAATCAAATGTTTTAATCTGGATGACTCTGTGGCGCAATCGCCAAGGCATTGGCTTCAGCGTCGGGGGTCGTGGGTTCGATTCCCACACGGGACAACTATTTGTGTGACCCACAGATAGTTGTTTCGCATCTGGGTGTTTGTCCGCGTGTAATTTATGTTTGTAAAACGTCCCTACATCACAGGATAATGTTATCCCAAAGTAAGGGCAATGTTTTTAAAACAATAAAAAAAAAAAAAAATCAAACATAGATACCTCAAAAACTATAAAACTTATGATATATTTTTAAGTAAGTTTTCTGTTACAATTTAAACATTAAAAGAATTTTTTTTACAATTTACTTTTTACGGATATCAAGGCAAAAACAATTTTAATTAATGATTTTAAGCAAAAACAATTTTAAACAAATTAGTTTAAAGACAAGGGACTTAATTTCTGATCAGTGCGTACCATGATAAGATCTCCTTCTTTTAAATTAGGGTGTTCATGATGCCACTTAGGCCTATTTTGTAATTGAGTGAGCTAATCTGCAGACCAGACTTTCTTTACGGTGGTAGGGCCACGCAGTAGCCTCGGCTGTTGCACGAATGGGCAGGCCGTCCGGGTAAGTACCACGACCTCACAGAAGATCAGCGTAAAGTGGAAGTATGACAAATACTTTCGTGTTTTGTCTGGTGAGTGAGGTAGCCGGAGCCCAATTTTCAAAAGGTTGTCAACATATCTGTGACCCTCGGATGTAGCAAATGTCCATGGGCGGCGGTATTCACTTACCATCAGGTGAACCGTCTGCTCGTTTGGCAACTTTTCACATTAAAAAAAAACATTCCAAAAGTCTTGCTTAATTTTAGTTAAAACATTCCAAATTCTTAGCCTATTGACTAACTTGTGACGAAGATCAATCTCATAGGGTAGCTTATTATAGCACTTTCTATAAGGAAGGTGGCCAGGTGCCAAGTATTCCAAACAAGAAATATGCTCATGGGAAGCAGAGGCTGTGAGTTCAATACTGCTTCAATCTCTGTAACAACAGTATACTTATATAGCTAGGAACACAAACATTTTCTATAGCATCAATATGCTTTTTGAGTTGATTAGTTCATATAGCGTTTCACGGCGGAAGGGCCACGCAGCAGCCTCGGCTGTTGCACGAATGAGCAGGCTCGACCGGGCAAGTAACACGACCTCACAGAAGACCGGCGTAAAGTGGAAGTATATTACTTTCTACTCTACTTGGCAACTATTAACATTAAAAAAAGTGTTGTGTAGCCAAACAAGGTATTTTGCAATAGCAAACCATCTTGGAGTTTGAACTGACCATTTTGTAAAATGCTAAAATATATGTCAGCACCTAACAAAATGGAAATCTCAGCAGGGATATTAAGTGTCATCTGACAGTTCAATATACTTTGGAATTTGGAAAGAAATATCTATTTTATGCGAGTAAAGCAGAAGTAAAGGAACCTACAACATGTACAAGTAATGACCAACTGAACATTGTTCACGGGAGAGTGAATGGTCAAATTATTATTCCCTATGACAATAATATTGGTGTTATGAAATGAAGGACTTAAACCCCGTTTAGTAACAAGGGATGAAGTTATAAAAGAAGCTTCACATCCAGAGTCAAGTAGTGCTCTGACAAACAGTTCAGTAACCTCGATGGTTGGTAATAAAATAGTCATAGAAGAATTGACTGAATGTAATGCTACAGGCTTAAGCTCAACGTCCTTATGCAAAAGTGTATTGTGGCCTGACTTGCATGTTTTTCATTCATCATTTCATCATTTGCCATTATGCAATTTTAAACATATGGTGCATAATTTTTTGAGCTTAACAAATTCTTCACGGTCTTCTATAGGAGCCATTCTGAATTTAGGACACATATGTAACCTATGGTTCATAATTTTACAAAAAGAACAAAGGTTGGAATTTTTGCTAGTGACAACACTGCTCTTCATATTTTCACAGATACTACTAATATCTTCAAGTTCTATAGCGCGTTTTTCAAGAAACAATAAAATCATCCATCGTTGGCAGAGTATCTCTCCCTATCCAATATTTTTTTTGCCGTTTTTATAAATCAGTGGTACGAAACCCTAGTTAAAAGTTTCTGATTATAGTTCTGAGTTTTTTTTTCACACAATTCTTTTGTGGGAAAAAAATAGTACGATGTTTACTAACCTAGCCAGATCTATTTATAGCCGAAATCCCGCACATATTAAATTTCTCTGCGAAGCCAATGTGGAGTCGTTCAATTGAACAAACCTAATTGATAAGGCATTGTATTTAATGTACAAAGCGCGAGAGTCATTGTTGTATTAGTATAACGTAACAAAGTAGTTCGTAACCTAGGTACAGATAAGAATGCCGCTTGCCTGGGGCCAATTTTATCCAAAGTTGCAACGCATCTGTAACCCTACGGGTGTTGCAAATGCCAATGGGCAGCGGTTATCTCTTAACATCGGGTTAAGTGATGATAAAAAAAAAATGAGAACTATGAAGTTTTATGTAATTTGGGGAGTTATTGCTCTTGACGAGCCCGGCTCAGTTTATTGAGCATCCCATCGTAAAACGCCCAGGGAGAAGGTGGCTCATTTTCAATTAATTTTTCATTATTATAAACATTTATTTTATTATTTTAATCCTAAGCGTGTTTGAGCTAGCTGCTTTGGACAGGCTTAAGGCTTACGATGATTGTTAACTTATCATTATCCGTATCGTTATCGTTAACAATCAATCATAACTTCAATATCGATTTAGCATGATTATTAGAAACTAGATCAATCATGGTGTTATATCACATAAATCACATTATGTGATGTATCTCTACCCCTTTTTATAACTTCTATCCGATTTTCAGAAATTGTGCCCCATTCAATGCCCTATACAACTTGATTATCAGCAAGATTATAATTGCATTCAGAAATTCAGCTAACAATGCGTCAGGCATTATGAATTGAGAAGATATTTCATGCACGTGAAATAACGATATTGTTGTTACAGTTGGGTAAAGTTTAGCAATTTGCGAATGTGACATCATAAGTTTTTTATAATTTTAAAGACTTACGGTCTTATTCATAATAAGTTATGGGAGGCTTAAGAGCTCGCTAAAAATAAATTGTCAAAAAGTCTTATTCATAATCGTTCTATACCGCTAAAACGTTCATTAACTCTCCGATAAAGTGTCTTTGATTTAAACAAGCTAGGACCCTACTATAAAATTTCGATAAACGTATATTAGCGAAAAACATGGCCGATTTTGGCCAGCTGATTACTGACGTTTGCTATGACTTCTTTTAAATCATTCCGTGCCGCCACCTTTGTTGCATAGGAGATC